AGAGTATGCCTCCAAGGGGAAGAATGTTAACAGTGAGGAGGATGCAAAGTCCCTACCAGTTTCTACACTCAAGTTATTGTGCAAGTGGAAGCAACAAAAGAAGATTCCTACAAAGAAACAAGAATTGCTTGATCTTTGGTTGGAAGTGAAGGATATTTACTTCCCTCCAGAATTTGCTTGGAGTGATGAAGATGAGACCCAACTGCAAAGACTGAAAGAAGATGAGATTACAATCAGGGATACTGCTTTAGGAAAAGAGAGAGCAAGGCTCCAAAAAGAATCCCTGAACTACATTGCAAGCATGACTGAAGAAGAGAGAGCTGCATGCAATATGCCTGTCAATGTGCTTGAGGAACTGAAGGAAATGGTTGTTGGTGAAGTTGCTGAAGTGCAAGAGGAGCAGTTTCCAGTAGTTAGTGCCTTAGAGAGCGCTCCAGTAGTAAGATTTATGTTAAGAGAAATCTGTTCTCAGAATCGATTTTGATTTTAACCAGTGTCCGGAAGTCCATTTCGTTTCGAAAAAAGTGAGCAAAAAAGAGCTCGGAAACTAGCTCGGAAAGCTCCGAAATAGCAATTTTCTTTTTTTATAAAGCGTGACAGGTTGAAGTTTGGAAGGCAAATGAAGCCTATTAGAGCTATTAATGGCAAGTCCCATACTGGCAAGTTATTGGCAATTAGCTCATTTTTACAGGTAAAACCCGTTATTTTAACCGTCAGTGAAATAAAAACAGTTAAAAATTGTCATTCAACTTCAGAAAAAATTCTGGCGCGGAGAATGGCTGAGGGCCGCGTCAGGATTTATTCAGGAACTGAACCCGTTTCACCTAGGTCCTTAAAACGAGAACTGGAACTTTCAGCATGAAAAAAATTTAAACTGGAACTTTTTTTCGACGGCTATTGTAAAAGTACTAAAAACCATACCGTCCCGCAATATTAACTTACTTAGAACAACTTTTCCTAATTTCTTGTTCTCTTCCTTCGCCAACAGTCATTTCTCTTCAGTGAATTATTGAATTTTTAGTTTTTCATTTTTTCATTTTTAAGTTTTTCGTCCCTTTTTTTAYATTCCATATCACCGCTGTTTTCAGTTGCTCCTTTATGGTGGTGCGGGTGCTGGGTGCG